ATATATATATATATATATATATATATATATATATATATATATATATAATGTGTTGTAGGCAAATTATTATAGGCAAATGTTATCTGCTTGGTCAAATGGCTTTCGCCCGTTTATTTGTGTTCAAATGCTATTTTCCTAGGCAAATAGCATTTGTTTGAACGCTTTTTAGGAAAATAGAAATAAATTGTAGGTAATTATTCAGAATAGGGCCTTTCCCGAATTTTGATATTTTTTGCGGCTTTCTTGGTAAAAATCTTCGTAAAAATTTTTCCCAACAACTGGACACATAAGTACGCCTTGCAAAGTACATGCGTGAACTTTCCACGCGTGGAAAGTTGTAAACCCATGTGACATCTCATCTCGCGTGGAAGCAGAAATATGATATAGTGGGAAGGTTCGAATACTTCGAGCTATTTTATTCTAAAAGTGTACATATTTTTTATTTCATGGAGAAACGATGGATTCTAAAATTAAATATATAAAGATTATAGTGTAATTTTCAAGAGGAAACAGCGGACAAATTCTACCAATATTTATAGTAGTTTTCATGAGTTTATTTCAAAACAGTATCTATAAAAATAAATTTTTACAACAAATTTTACGGAAAGCTGTTTTAGAAACTGTAACTAGAAAAAGTATCACAGGAGATCTATTTCTAAACGAAAGAAACATTACGGTTGCAAAAGAAATATCAAGAACTGACTAATGATGTTATTAATGTAGTTTTTCTACTTTTTCTAGTATTTCGCTGAACAATTATTTCAAACAAAGAAATGACACCCATCGCCCAAAAAATTCAAATTATGAAAGAAGAAAGAAAGATAAAACGTTTCGAAAATAACAACACTATAAATAAGGTTTTAGGTTTTTTATTAAACCTAATTATTATTAGGTTATTTTAAACCTAATTTATCAAATAATTTTTACAAAGTAAATTTGTAAGTAAAAAAATATAAAAAGTAAACATATAAAAAGTAAATTAATTTGTCCTAATTATTAAACAAAAACTATTTCAATTATTCACGACGGCATAATGTATAGACGGACACGTGCGGATATATTTCCTTCCATTGATTAACCAATTGATTAACCAATTGATTTATATTACAGAATATGAAATAAAACTCCTGCAGTTTAAAACATTGTTTCAAAATAACGGAACAATTATCAGGTTTATCAAGTTTTGCGTCAAAAAGATATAACTTTTTTAAGTTTTTGCACTGCGCTAGTAATTCCAACCGGTGATCAGTGAGGACAGCATCGCACAAATAAACTTCTTGCAAGTTTTGATAAGAGGAAAGTAATTTAAATAATCTATCATCAGTAACTGAATTGCATCTGTAACAAAAATGATGTAATTAGTACAGTACTTTAATTGCAAAGAGAAAATTCTTGTAACTTTTATCAAAATGCTCGCAAAAGAAGCAAACAAATTTCAATAAAGAATACAATGATGTGTGTTTTAAAAGAAAATGTAGCACACACACACTTACAGATAAAGGGCCACTTTTTGTAAATTTTTACAGTTAGCGAGAGCCTTAATACCCCGAGATGTAAGATTACGTGCGTAGAGTGAATATATTACTTCCAAGTCACAGCACGAATTTCCCAACTCTATTAGAACTGCATCGTTTATTAAGTCGCTATCTGCCGATAACTGACGCATCCGTCGATTATTTTGCAATATCTTGCAAAAACGTTCGGTTCTTATACTAGTATAGCCAGTACGAAAAAGGTTTAAATGTTCCAAATTATTTAGTCCCTCGAGATACGAAAATCCTTCATCGTCTATGTTGAGCCAATTTTTGAGATCCAATTCTAAGAAAAATTTGTATTACAAATTGTTATACAATCTACCAATAATCTTGACAATATATACATATACTATATGCATATACCTTTCAAATTTTTGCATGTCTCTGAAGTTTTAAGTAGGATAAGATTTACGTCGATGCAGCGGCAGCCACTGAACGGCAAGTCATTTAATCTTAAATGCGTTAAACGCCTGCCGCAATTATCAAGAAAATTTACGAAATCATTGACATCAAACCAGCTTCCTGTAAGATCTAATTGTTGCAAATATTTACATCTAGGTGTAAAATAACGAAATATATCGCACATATAATTATCAATATAGTCGTTAAAGTGAATATATCGCACGTTCAAACGTGTATAGAGTAGAGGATCCCGTGATAAAGTATCAAAGCGCTTATTATATACTTCATTCATGCGGCATAATGTTACCACATCTAAGTATTTAAATATTTCTAGTAGCATTTCATTCTGTAAAGATAAAATATAATTAATATAATACAAAATAAATATACTTTAATACTCAAAGTACGAAATGTCATTGTAATAAATATTGTGATGAGAAATAGACTTCTTAGAATACTTTACAGGAAGCGCAGATAAACTGCAACGTGATAGCTTCTTGGATTCATCCAATGAGAGTTTCACTCCCTTGGCACAATTCGAATTACTTTTCAATAAAATATGACGAGAGTTGTTCTTTCCGTTAGGTTGCACATAAGGTATTATCTCCTGAGATGCCTTGTTGTGCTTCAAATTATTCTTATAAGATACCCTTCTTATGTCGCTGCAAATATTATCGGAACAAATTAATTTTTAAATTTATTCTTATTATTAACAGAAAAAATGGATTCAAATATTATTTGATGTCGATGATAATAATACCTTTTACAAATAACACAGTATTTGGAAAAATTCTGTTGCAGATGAACTACATCCAAGTGTGCATTTTTTGAATCTGCTGTTAAATTATGAACATCGTCGTGGTGTAAAGAGTACATGCTGTTAATTCTTTTCAACAGATTACTTAAACTCTCGTTAGGATTTCTAGGAAGGATCAAATCTGATGTGCCAATGAGCATCACAGCATCTAGTTTTGTATCAGATGTCTCTGTGCTGTCACTAAACACTAGTCTGAGCATTTTAGTTTTAAAGTTACACGGATGCGACAACGGTGGAGAAAATAATCTTGATTTCGGGGGTACAATCAGAAACTTTTCATCCCACAACTGAATCCAGTGATTATTGGAATCTTGAGCCAAAATTTGAATTACGCTTCCAGGATTACACATTTCGTAAATACAGACTCTGATTGGATATACAGCTTCATGAAACTCGATATCTTTAAATAGAAAATATTATTATATTTACTCTCTTCTCAGCAAAAGCGTATCTTCCTTAACAATATCTTATTTATCGATTTAAATATTACATACCAATATATCTTTTTGTCGCATCAAACTCGTACATGTAATATGATATGGCTCTATTAGTGGATCTCATGAAATTTTTGTTTTGCCATGGAGATATTGAAATACCAGTTTCTAGCATCTATATTAGAAAATCAAAATTGTCAAATAGTAGAAAATCTTGTAACATATAATACATATATAGCGATTACTTTGTACAGGAGTATAACAGAGATATGTAGTACCAGAAAATACACGTACCTCAAAATAACAAAAAGGAATTGGTAAATGAAATAGTTGTCCGTAATTTTGAAATTTGGGTGGCCCAATTATGTCAGGGGCAGTATGGAATATGCTAAGACTCTGGTGATCCACGGCAACAAATCTTTTCTTCGCAAATTGATAGATGAAGTCAACACTATCCTCTTCTCCTACGGATACTCTGCCGACATAGGGATATCGACTACAACTCTCGCAATATAAAGATTTATTGTGGGTTGTCATTGTCTCTCTAAAAAAAGACAAAAAATATGAAGAATAATAATCCTTTCATTTTTAGCATATATACTAAAATGCATTATATCATATATATTTATAATTATAGCGTTAAGATTATATGTATAATCTAACAATAAGTTTATCTTGCTTCCATTTGCATTGCTAAGTACTGACAGTCTGCATGTGTGTGTTGAATATCATTATTAAATAATTAATTATTTTAAAGAAATTAACAGTTATTTTTTAATTTTGTCAATGTAGAAAAATGTTCTTTTATAAATCTGAAATATCGGGAGCTCTGTGTTCTTCCACTATCACGTGGCACATACGTGCACGACTACAAAAGAAAAAACAAAAAATTACACAATTTTTGAATTGCTCACATTCGCCAGACTTACGCTTAGTTTCTAAATGACTATAAAGTTCCATTCTACATTAGTCGTAAGAGTAGATGTAAAACGCGTAAGCAGTAAAGCTATTGACTAATAAGATTTTTTACAATCCAAGAATAATCGATTGTAGTTGGTCAACTTTTACTGCTTACGTCTTATCGCATACTCTTGCAGTTATTGTACAATGGATTTAAGATTTTCCGAAATGTATTTTTTATCTTACTCAATGTATCTTTTATCTCATTTTCCGATACACGTTATAGTCGGAAGCTGCGACGACACTTTTGGCCAAGTGATTTTGTAAAATACGATTTTCCGTGTTAACCTGCGTGAACGGCTCTCTTCGATAATCCGAACACCTACTGGCTGGCCGTACCTGGGGGGTTTAAAAGTACGCAGGTGAGAAAGAAAACACATTTTTAAGTTATAGTATAAGTCTCAATTTTTATCGGATATTGATAATTGGTCACTCAGAAACATGCAAATAAATTGCTAGTTTGATTGTTCGGGGGAATTAGTCGCCAAGCTTAATTATAAATAATTAAAAATAGTTATTTTCAAGTCATTACTATAAAAACTGGGTTTTCTTTAGTAACAAGTATAGTGCTAACACATGCCACCAAAAAAAAGTCAAATAAAAATATTGGTGGCAACATCTCTAAAAAAATTATTGACGATGCAAAAAGCCGGCACGCGGCGCCGCGGCGGAAAGGTCATCTGACGATGGCCTCAATTGTTTTTAGCGTCCATGAATTTTTAAAAACGTGTATTATTAACTATCATTATCGTATCAATTTATGAAAAGATTGATAAACAATAAATAGTGTGTGAAAATGTTTCTTCAGAAAAGAAGACAATTGGACCACCACCACTATCTTCACAAATAACGCAACGCTGCGCCAGCAAAGCCATTTTTTTATTTTCACACACTCTATTTATTGTTTATCAATCTTTTTATAAATTAAGTAGCAATTTATTTGCGTGTTCCTGTGAGTGACCAATTATCAATATCGATAAAAATTGAGACTTATCCCACTCGGCATGTTATGTTGCTGAAATATTGAAATATTCGGAAATAGTACAAAAATATTTCGTTAACATTTCATTTGTAACTATGCATCTGAAATATTTCAGAAATGTACCTGCATCATGTTTTTTATAATATTGCATTAACAATATTTCTGAAATCTTTCAGAAAGTTGTTTACAATATTTGTAAGTGTCTGTAATGTTGCAAAAAAATGTAGCAGATGCAATATTTCAGAAATATTTCTGAAACATTATAAAAGTATTATTTCGTTTGCATTGCACAAATAATATTTCTGTAACATATCAAACGCAACATTGCATTTAAAATATTTCTGAAAAATTTCTGAAGGATTGCGTAGGTAATGAAAAATTGAATTGCAGGCAGTGAATTTCTACAATATTGCAGAAAAAATATTGCACATGTAATGGTTTAGAAACATTTCTGATACATGATAAAACTATTATTTACATTTAAATTGCACGCGTTATATATTTTAATGTTTCACATACAACATTGCATTTGTAATATTTCCGAAAAATTGCTGACAGACTTTAGAACTTATAAAAAATTAAATTTATTATTAAATAATTATTACATTTTATTGCATTTTTTCTCTTTTATAATATTAAGAATTTTCTGATATTCCAAATTGTGTCATATGGCATTTTTAATATAAAATATAAAATACTTAATAATATTTAATATAAATTAATATTCGACGTTGACTGGCAAAAAAGATTTATTCGTATATCTGTATTGTTAATATTGTTATACGATAGCTTTATGGTCACCAAAATAAGCAAGTATAAGAAAAAAAAAAGCGTCAGAGTCAGAAGATCACCGCACTACCCTGTTCGATCATCGATGTCAAGCAACAAGGCGCCGGCGGTATACTACTTGGATGGGTGACCGGCTGAGAAAGCGGATTTCTTTGGACAAATGCGCGGCGGCTATACGCACATGGCTTAATATATTTTTTTTGTTCCGGTAACAAAATATTTCATTTTTCACATATCAACAAATAGTTTTTACGTCAGTAACAAAATTTTGTTTGCTAATACAAAACATTTTTCTCAGTGTAAAATGTATTTGAGATATCTCTGAAGTGTTTCTGCAATATTTCGTAGATATATTTCAGAAATATTTCAGTAATATTACCGAAATATTGCCGAAATCTTTCAGCAAAGTTGCATTTGAAATAATTGTGCCGATTGAAACATTGCAGAAATGTTGCAGAAACAGTCGTGAAATATTTCTGAAATATTTATGAAAGGTGTAATATTTCAAATGGAATTTTGCAGAAATGTTTCTGAAATATTACATGCCGAGTGGGATACTATAATTTGAAAATCTGTTTTTTTTCTCACCTGCGTACTTCTAAATCCCCCAGGTACGGGCGGTACAACCAGCCAGGTGTTCGGATTATCGAAGGAGAGTCGTCCACGCAGGTTAAAACGGAAAATCGTATTTTACAAAATCACTTGGCCAAGAGTGTCGTCAGCTCTTAGACACACGGTAGAAGAACATGCGGCATACACACGTTCACGTGCACCAAAGAAAAAAATTGCAAAATTTAAATTGCTTACGTTCGCTACACTTACGCTTACGCTTCTACGTTTATCGTGTGAACGTAGAACGTATGAGAGCCAACAATGTACTTGAAAGCTGCTTAACTTCAAATAAGGTACTGCTTAACTTCCTTCCTTCCTGTCTCGTACCAAGATACGAAATGTCCGCTGCTCAGCTTCATGCGTAGTAATGATCAATGTCCTCGGATAAAGTCGCGCACTAACACTCGGTTCACGAACGATTTCGTCAAGGATTAGGATGAGGATTTATTTAAATAATTATGTTGAATTTCGTTTTGAGTTAACAAAATCCTCTGAACATTCTCAGAATATACATTTGCTGTTAGGGGTACAAATCTCGATCCTTCGGAATACGACGTTAATATCGTATTAAATTACTCGTAGAACGAACGCTGCGTCAAGACTTTTAATAGTAATCGCGTATCGCGAAACTGTCTTTTTTCCCTGAGCGTATTTACGATCTCAAATAAACAATATACATAATATTGCAGAATCTAGAATACTTTAAGACAGCACTCGACTATACGTTCGCAGTCTTCAACAGCTAGGCGCGAAAAGACTTTGACTGTCGATCTATCCCGACTCCAATGGTGCTGTTTTGCCCGCTACCTGCGCGCCTGGTGGGGTCCCCGGGGACCCTCTCTGTCAGAGATACAGGGTCCCCGG